ATAAATTAATAAATAAATATTAAATAAAATCAATATTAACAAAAATTAAATTAATAAATATTAAATATAAATAAGTAACTAATTAATAAATATAAATAAAATATTAAATATAAATATTCATACATACATACATACATACATACATATATATATATATATATATATATATATATATAATTATTATTTATAAAAAAAAAAATTATAACATAAATATGTTATAAAATCACTACAAAATAGCCATTTTGTTTCAACACCCTCGGTGTCTTATCAAGTGATGATGTTGAAGATAAAAAAAAATCTCATATATATATATATATATATATATATATATATATGTCTGTGTGTGTGTGTGTGTGTGTGTGTAATTTCAAATACATACATTAAAAATCCAATGCGAACTCATTCAGAAAATAGTTATTTCCATCCACAGATTTTCTTGTGGACCTTATCAATTCAGAGATGTTAGAAAATGAAATAAAGGCTAAAAATTTAGACATTTAAAAAGTTAAAGAAGAAGACGAGGACGATAGAAAAGAAGAAAGAAAAAGAGAAAAAAGAAAAAAGAAGAGAGAGAGAGAGAGAGAGAGAGAGAGAGTGGGAGCTGCAGATACATGTCTAGACATAAGTTTATATAGATTTCCAATATGACAGTGAGAATCTAGACATTGAAGAAGCAAATGGAGAGGAAGAGGAAGAGAGAGTGAAAAACAATAATGGAAAAAGAAAAAGAAAAGGAAAAAAAAGGCCAGAGAGGGAGGGGAATAAGGAGGAAATCGAAGATTTAAAAAGTGTTAAAAGTGGTAGTGTCTGTTTCACTTAGGCAGTTAAAATAACCTTGACCTATATTTTCAAATATTAACCATTTGATTTAGTTTTAAAACAGAGTCAAAATATAAAGAACAAAAATTTTATGATATCTCTCTCTCTCTATCTATCTATTTATCTATCTGTCTATCTATCTTTCCGTTTATCTATCTCTCTCTCTCACTCTCTCTCTCTCTATATATATATATGTATATATATATATATATATATATAGAGAGAGAGAGAGAGAGACAGATAGATAGATAGATAGATAGATAGATAGATAGATAGATACAGACATTTATATATATATAGAGAATGTCTGCTACAGACTTCCGTAGTTTTCGGCTCTTGTTTTGAAACATGAGAACTCTTATGTAGCGATGGAATCATATTTTTAAATAAATAATTATATATAATTATATATATATATATATATATATGTATAGAGAGAGAGAGAGAGAGTGAGAGAGAGAGAGAGAGGGAGATAGTAACAGACTAACAGACTAAGATATTAATATGATTAGGCTGACATAATGATCATATACACACACACACACACACACACACACACATATATATATATATATATATATATATATATATATGTAGATAGATAGATAGATAATGAATAGACGGAGATATACAGATATATAGATATTAACAGATTGATAAAAATAGATAGATAGATAGATAGATAATAAACAGATGAAGATATATACTGAATAGACGTATATATATATATTTATATAGATAGATAGATAGATAGATAGATAGAAAGATAGATAGATAGATAATGAATAGACGGAGATATACAGATATATAGATATTAACAGATTGATAAAGATAGATAGATAGATAGATAGATAGATAGATAGATAGATAGATAGATATACTGACATAACACTTCTCTAATAGTGAATTGAGTAGGCTGATAAAATGAAAATAAAAACCAGAACTTCACAAACTTTTCCTTACTTCATTGCACGCCATTTATTTATTCATTTTTCGGTCACCCACTGGTTGTTTTTCACGCCATCGGCAGCCATTTTGAACATTTTGACGAAATTTTTAGTCAGTCGATCATTTTGTTGTTGATTCTCTTTATTTTCATTTATATTTTCTTTCCTCTAAATTTCTGTCTGCCTCAAATAAAGCTTTTTTCGACATTACTGAAATGTGACGTTAGTAACAGCATTATGGGATTTTCTTTTTATTTTGTTTATCTTTTCCTGCCATTTTTTTTTCTTAAATAATATATTCTTAATATTGTTTAAATTCAATTTGTTTTTGCGTGGTCTTTTTTTTGTTATTGTTGTATGTTTTCCTTTTTATCCTCAATTTGTTCTTTCTCTATTTCTCCACGTCTCTTCTCACTTTCTTTCTCTCTCTCTCTCTCTCTCTCTTGTTACACACACTCGCTCTCTATTTCTCTCTCTCTCTCTCTCACGTTACTTTCGTTCTCGTTACTCTCTCTTTTCCCTTTCTTTCTTTTTCTTGTTACTCTCTCTCTCTCTCTCTCTATTTATCTCTCTCGTCATTTTCTTTCTTTTTTCTCGTTACTTTCTCCTCTCTCTCTATTTCTCTTTCTCTCTCTCTCTTGCCATTTTCTTTCCCGTTACATTTCTCTCTCTCTCTCTTTCTCTCTTTTGTCACTTTCTTTCTTTGTTTCTCTCATTACTTTCTCTCTTTCTATTTCTCTCTCACCTTGTCACTTTCTCTCTCTCGTTACTGTCTCTCTCTTCCTCTATCTCTCTCTCTTGTCGCCTTCTTTCTGTTTCTCGTTACTTTCTATCTCTCTCTATTTCCCCTCCTCTCTCGTTCGTCACTTTCTCTCTCTCGTTATATTCTTTCTTTCTCTCAACCTCTCTTTCTCTCGTCACTTTCTTTCTTTCTCTCATTACTTACTCTCTCTCTATTTCTCTCTCTCCTTGTCACTTTCTCTCTCTCTTCATCTCTCTCTCTTGTCGCCTTCTTTCTCTTTCGTTACTTTCTATCTCTCTCTATTTCCCTCCCTCTCTCGTTCGTCACTTTCTTTCCCTCTCTCTCGTTGCATTCTTTCTTTCTCTCAACTTCTCTCTTTCTCTCGTCACTTTCTTTCTTTCTCTCATTACTTTCTCTCTCTCTATTTCTCTCTCTCTCTTCTTGTCACTTTCTCTCTCTCGTTACTGTGTCTCTCTTCCTCTCTCTCTCTCTCTTGACGCCTTCTTTTTCTTTCTCGTTTCTTTCTGTCTCTCTCTATTTCCCTCCCTCTCTCGTTCGTCACTTTCTTTCTCTCTCTCTAGTTACATTCTTTCTCTCAACTTTTTCTCGTTACTTTCTCTCTCTCTCTCTCTCCCTATTCTCTCTCTCTCTCTCCTCAGTTTCTTTTTCTCGTTACTTTCCCTCTCTCTATTTACTTTTCTTTTGTTACTTTCTCTCTCTCTCCTTAGTCCTCTCTCTTTCATCACTTTCTTTTTCTCGTTACTTTCCCTCTCTCTATTTCTCTTTCTGTTGTTACTTTCTCTCTCTCTTTCTCTTTCTCGCTCTCTCTCTCTCTCATCAATTTTTTTCTCCCTTTCCTAAACAGTCTCGTTCAGTTCACTTCAGCCTTTCCTTCTCTCTTATTCTTCTCACGCTGCCGCCATTTTCTAGTGCTCCCCTAAGTTTTCCTACTTTGCTCTATCGCTTCTCTCTCTCTCTCTCTCGCTCTCTTTTGCATTCTCCCACCTTTTTCAAGTCTTCTGTCTCTCTTTATATTCCCCCCTTTACTCTCTCTATCTCTCTCGCTTTCGTCTCTCTCTCCTCTTCTCTCCTTCCAACACATTCCTCCTCTTTCTTTCTCTTCCGTTTTCTAACTCTCTCTCTCACTCTTCTGTCTCTATTTCTTTATCTCTTTTTCCTATGCAGTTTCTTTTTCTCTTCTCTCCTTTACTCTTCTTTCTCCCCCAACTCTCTCTCTCTTTCTATTCCTTTTACTCTTCGCGGTTTCTTTCATTTTCTCTTTCGCTTTCTTTTTCCCATAATTTTTCACACCGCCTAATATTTCTCCCTGTTTTGTTTCTTCCCTGTCTCTTTCTATCTCCCCCACCCAGTCTCTCTCTCTTTGTCTTTCTCTTTTTTTAATTTCTCTTTTTTTTTCTGTCTTTGTCACTCTCTTTCTGTCCGTCTCTCTTTCGCTTTATCTCTCTCCCATCTTCTTCCTCTTTCTACATCTCATTTTTTTTCCTCTCACATTTCCCTGTCTACTCTGGCCTTTCCCTTTGTCTTTTCCGTCTCTTCCTCTCTCTCTCTCTCTCTTTCTCTCTCTCCCTTTCTCTCTATCACACGTTAGTTTCTTTCTTTTTCTCTCTATTTCTCTATATTTATTCTTCTAAATAACTGCCTCTGTCATTTTGTTTTCTTTCTCTTTTTCTTCGGCCATCGTCCTTATCAATTTTTTATTGACGTTTTCGATTCATCGACATGCTCTTAAGTTCATTTTAAATAGTTCTTATTGTCACCCTTTTAGAATCGTGCTCTTTCATCATCATCTATTTCCTTCTTCTTCTTCTTCTTCTTCTTCTTCTTCTTCTTCACATTATTCTTCCTTTTCTTCTTCTTTTTCTCCCCCATATTCTTCATCTTTTTCTCCTTCTCCTCCTCTCTCCTTCATTTTCTTCTTCTTAATCTCTTCCTCCTCCTTCATATTCTTCGTTTTTCCTTCTTCTTCACCATGTTCTTCTACTTCTTTAACGCCTTCTTTTCATCCTTCTTCTTTTTTTCTTCTTCTTCTTCTTCCTCCTCTTCTCCTCCTACTTCTTCTCCTCCTCTCTCCTTCATTTTCTTCTTCTTAATCTCTTCCTCCTCCTTCATATTCTTCGTCTTTCCTTCTTCTTCTTCATGTCCTTCTACTTCTTTAACGTCTTCTTCTCATCCTTCTTCTTTTTCTTCTTCTTCTACTTCTTCCTCCTCTTCTCCTCCTACTTCTTCTCCTCCTCTCTCCTTCATTTACTTCTTCTTAATCTCTTCCTCCTCCTTCATATTCTTCGTCTTTCCTTCTTCTTCTTCTTCATGTCCTTCTACTTCTTCTTTAACGCCTTCTTCTCATCCTTCTTCTTTTCTTCTTCTTCTTCCTCCTCCTCTTCTCCTCCTACTTCTTCTTCTCTTCTCTCCATTTTCTTCTTCTTAATCTCCTCCTCCTCCTTCATATTCATCGTCTTTCCTTCTTCTTCTCC